AAACTGTGAGAGGCAACAAACACATCTTAGTTATCGCAGATTATTTTACTAAATGGGTAGAGGCCTACCCACTACAGAGGATGGACGCCGAAACCATTGCCTCAGCATTTGCTAGCGAGTTTGTTGCACGCTATGGTGCGCCGGAAAGTATACATACAGATCAAGGCCGGAATTTTGACTCTGCTCTGTTCAAACAAGTGTGTAGCCTGTTGGGTATTAGAAAAACACGCACCACAGCGTATCATCCAGCCAGCGATGGTCTCGTGGAGCGTTTCAATCAGACGCTCGAGAAGGTCTTGTCACACTATGTGTCGGATCACCAGCGGGATTGGGACACACACTTGCCCGCCATGTTGTTGGCGTACAGGGCCACGCCACAAACCAGTACAGGGTATACCCCGGCTTACCTGTTGTTTGGTAGAGAACTCTGTTTGCCACAGGATGTCGCCTACGGTTTACCCCCGGTCACGACGGCTCGGGCCGAGACAACTGCAGGATACGTCAAGGAGTTGCGACTTTCCCTGCAAGAAACACATGCGTTTGTGCGGGACAAACTGCGGGCGGTACATCGCCATCAAGCACATCTCCATGACGCGGGCGCAGTGCTCGTGTCGTTCGAAGTCGGCGATTTGGTGTGGATGCTGGTGCCCGCAATCCCAGTTGGAACTTCAGCCAAATTTGCCAAACTTTGGCGCGGTCCGTTCGAAGTTATGACCAAGCTGTCGTCTGTCCTGTACAGGGTGCGGGACCCTGTCGGGAAACGTGGAGTCATGATAGTCCATGTAAACCGGCTGAAGAAGTGTCTAGTGCGTCCGCAACACCTGCAACCAGTACCGGAGGAGGTCGAGCCCGTGGGTGATTCCGGATGCAACCCCGCTAAAGTTCGACAACCTGAAGCGTACCAACCCGATGCCACAGACCTTCTGTACCAGGACGAGTGCGATAATGGCGAAAATTATGGTGGTGAGCCTGCCGTTATGGCACAAGTGCATGCTCCCATTCCTCAGCTGCCACCAGTAGTTCAGCTGCCACAAACGCCTTATGCCATGGCGCGGCCGCAAAGGAATCGTAGACCGCCGGCACGGTTCTGATATTTCATGTTCTTAGAGAAGGTGCTGTGAACTATTATAATGATCATGTGGCATTAGCAATACCATAATTACCGTTCCTAAACGAACGCGTTAGTGAAATACCTTGGGTAGGTTTAAATTCCCTCCTTTCCCCTCCATTCATTGCTTGCGCTACGCGGACTCTCTGTACAGTCTTTTTCCATTTGTTAGTTATTCCACCTTTGCAAAACACGAGGACGTGTCTTTTGCGAAGCCGGGGGAGATGTCATATCCGGCAATGCTACAACTGTGACTTTTCCTACTCATGACTAGATGTATGTTATTATTATTGTTGGCCGCGAGCATCATGCATGCAGAGCTGTCCTAACGTATCCCCTTACCTTTACAATCATCTGTGTACTTGTTGTAATGTACTAGTAGTAGTATTGATCCACGCCGCCATCATCTTGCCTCTAGCTCTCCCCTGACAAATCAGTTGGTGACAGTGCGACATAATAGAGAGGTTCCGCACTACGTAAAGTTGAGCAACTTTACGTTAGTGGGCGGGGAAAACCCGTGAATTCGCGAGTTTGCACTCCACTTACGGAAAGTTGTCTACGGAGAGTACGTAGATAGGGCTCTGATAACGTAGCTGGTCCGTAAGTGGATTGGGGTACAAATTTATGACTTTCTTCCCAGGTCGATCTGGTCGTACACTGCCGGCATGCCGCGTTCGGAGTTGCCAAGGGCAGCTACGTGATTTGAAAACTCCGTATGGCGGAACACAGATGCGCATGCAGTTTACGTAAGACTTTCCGTAGATCGACTACGTTTTTTACTAACGTAATTACGTTATGCGGAACCTCTCTATTCATACCTGTCACCGTCGTTATGGTCTGGTGCGCATATACATGTACGTCCGTACTAGTACTGAGTACTCTTAGTCCCGCTGATGACAACATAGGACCTCACCGTATAGCCAGTGCTATTGCTGTTGCACTGAACAATACATTAGCAGCGTAACTGCTTCTCAGCTGGCATTGTCGTTCGCTATTGCATTATAACCCGCGCTGATGTTTACTTCATGTTTTTAGCTAAGCTTACAATAGGAGGTGTTCGTAGCCGCTAGGGTCACTTCTCGTTTCTCCCTCTTCTTGTCCGGGGCAATAAACGTCCTTTAGGTTACGGTGACCTTGTTGTGTGAGTGGTTGGGCAGTAGCCGTATATTGCGGCTGAACGCTACTACTAGCGGGATACCCGGTTACGACACTTTTAGCATAAAAATAGCATAATTCTGCAATTTTTTCAGCAATGCGAAAAGCATAATTTCACGAAAATATTAGCATAATCCGTCAAGGCCTACTCCTCGTTGATGTTTTCATTATGTTTTAGTCATCTTTTCACCTTCACACTGTTTTTGACCTGTTCAGCTGAATTTTATTTTTATTCCACACGTGTAGCCGCGGTGAGGTTTTCATCTACTAGTACGTGTATGCCTTTGCTTCAGCTCTATACAATGTAAGTTATCGCCCCTCCCCCCGAGACACACACATCATAGCACCATAGAATGGGGTTGTATTTTTGTTGTTTTTGCCATGTGATTAAGCAATCACGATTGAAACGAGGGTTGCCTGCTGCTCCTCGTTGTTAGTCTTGAAGAAAAAAAAAAAAAAAAAAAAAAAAATCACGCCCATCTGCTGCTGCTGCTAGCTGCCAATATTGATGCTGTCCCTGCATTCGCCACCTCCAACTGCTGAGGTGCCTCGTGCTGTGGCACTACCACACCTTGGTCCGCCCTGCGTTGATCCGGCCTCGTACTCTCGTACTCTGCTCATGCTGCCGTACTCTCGCGTTGTGGCCTCGTGGGTACGTCTTACGCTATTTGCGCTTGCCACGTGCTTATGTGGCCCGCCTTACCTGGTGGGCTCTCGCGCCTTATTTCCCATATAAGCATGGTGGTGTCTGTCATTGTGGGCCGGGCGGCATCCGGGGACTTCGCCTCTTCCATACGTGGTATGTTTGCTCCGCCACACCGCCTGTTCTATCTTGCGTACTCTGTTAGTACTGTACTCTGGCTGAGGCTTAGTACGCGCGCTGGAGTCCTTTCGTGCCCTAAAAGGAACTGCTTCCTAATATAGAGATTAGGCGCCATGAGCCCTGCTTGTAGTAAACATTGCATTAGTAGCGCTGATACCTTTATGCAAATATGGGGTAGACTCGCCCGCGCATATGGGCGTACTCGTACTGCGGCCTGGGCTTTCCCCAGTACGGCTGCCCGCCATTGCATGCCAGACACCCCCATTGTTGCGCGCCTAGCCACGCGCGTGGCTTTTGCCTGCTGCTCGGTTGTCAGCGATAACTACGGTTTGCCGTACGCTGCAAACCTACATTTCTGTATTTGACGTTTTCCATTATTCCCTGTACTTACCCATGAAAAGAAGGGAACGAAAACGCTCAGTTACCAAATTGGCTGTACTTGACTGTGTGGATTGCATCGGTGCTGACACTTCTTTCAAAATGACTTCGTACTAGGTTGATATGAACTAAAAGTAAAAAAATTACTAAAACTCTCGTAAAACCGGACCTCGGCTTCAACTACAGCTCGGTCTTTTACTGGTTTTTTTTCATTCATTGATCTCGTACTCAGTTAGTACAATCAGTCATGTACATGATTGTTTAGCAGGACAATTATGTACCTATGGCAACAACGAAGTGCTGTCACTGCACTGGAGTCACGTGTTGAATCAGGCTAATGATTCTCACAATCGATAATCGCAAGTACTAGTATTCAATCACGTTCATCATGTCAGTGACTGACTACTCTTCGGAATGGGATAATTAATTAGCATTTAATACTAGTAGTTAGTCAACAGTACAAAATTAATACGAAATCTCCCGACTGAGATGTAGATTCTACTAATCCGGAAGTAGTATTTTATGACTCCCCTGTATACGCGGTAAGGGGTCGTCCGTAATTTTCGAAAAATTAAAAAATCCGTCCTCGTGCAAAATTGTGTCTGACCCACCCACCCACCCCCCATTTTTCCCATCAATTTTTTGATTTTTACCGATGCCCGGCTCGAAAATAAGAAATCCTGACCCCATGTTTTCTGACTGCACCTGTGTCAAGTACTAGTAGCTAAGTACAGTGAGTATTAGGTCTACCAACGTCACGGCCATGCACCGTCCTTCAACTACATGAAAAGTCATATAGTACATACTGGTGTTTGCGACAATCGATCCTACACTACGTCTACAGTACAGTACACAGTCAGCTATACCTACCGTATTTTCCGGAGTATAGTGCGCACCTTTGTATAACGCGCACCCCCAATCTTCATTGGGGGTGCGCAATTCAATCTTCATTGAAGTACATACATTTCATATTCGGAGCATAGTGCGCACCTGCGATTTAGGGCCTAAAATAGTTCATCTAAAGTGCGCACTATACTCCGGAAAATATGGTACAGTATATCAGTGCAACAAGTGTATGAAAGTCACTGGAGCAAAAAAAAAAAAAAAAGTTCGAAAAATCAAAAAATTAAATTCCGCCAGCACTCTTGACCACCCACCCTCTTTTTGCCTGAGGACGGATTTTTTAATTTTTCGAAAAATACGGACGACCCCTAACAGACAATGAGACCGTCATACATGACTGTACAGTCATGTACTTGTACATGACTGTACATGTACAGAGTCAGTCATGCGTTTCATGCACAACCCGGCATGCATCAGGCGACATGATACTGGTACCATGGTGATCTCGGCCAGTACCGTGTGAGCATGGTGAGTGCCATTAGTTGTGTGTGTGTGGGGACAAGCTAGCAGCCCGGCGCCCATGCATGGGTGTAGAAATCACAATCTGAAAATAAATTAAAAGGGCCAAGCAGTCACACTACATGTAGACCACTGCGCACGTACACAGACGTCAGACATGGTCGTCCGCTCAAGTGACGGCACAGGGACTTCCTAAAAGCATAAAACACAAGAACGATAGTTCCTGGCCATAGCAGTCTATATCCCTGCTGTGTACTTGACATGATGACGAAATGTACAATGTACATAGTTACTGAGTGTTATTGAGTGAGCGGAAAAGGTCACATGATTCAAGCAGACGCAAATGTGCAGGAAAGAACACAATCAGGAGACTCTGAACGCTGCGATAGAGCACAAGGAAATAGTCTGAAACCCTTGCTGAACTGTGTATACATGAGGTAAGAGTACTGATCACAAGAACTGTACACACCCGCAGCACTGCAGTAGAAGTAGACAGCCAAAGATGCTCCATACGATAGATCGGATCAAGACAGAAATTCAACCTGTGATACACTAACTACATGCGGTGTATACACCGCATATACCGATAGCAACACTGATAGCAACACTGCTCATGGCCATTGCCAAATAACTCAAGACATGAGGAAAACTGAGATATAGAGAGGATGATAAAAAGAGAGAAAAAAGAGCGAGTAAGCCCACAAGAATTGCGTCTCCAACACACACACACACACAGAACAGAAGAAAACGCGGGCGGTTACGATGGTAGAAAGAGATAACACAGCTTCCTGAAATTCCCCGCCACCGTACCAACTTCACCACCTGGGTGCATACGGACAAATTGATGTTTAGTCTTAACACGAACTAGTGATGGATGCAACCATTGTGAAGTCCTTCACTGATCTGTTAATTATAGCAGGGAGTAAGGAGTACTGACGTACACTAGAATAGGTCTGCTCACCAACATGTCTATTCCAAGACCAGCTTGGTCTATTCCAAGACCAGCTTGGACATGTAAACTACATACTACTCATTTACTGCCAGAACTCTATGGGTAACACGGTCAGAACTCTATGGGTAACACGGTCAGAGCAACTAGTGTTCCAGAACTGTCTATGGGTAACACGGTCAGAGCAACTAGTGTTCCAGCAACTTGCTCAAACTCTCTATCAGATGGGTCAGGCCGAAGAGATAGTTCTCGTCCAGACTCTGCTCGCCCGACCCCGCCACCAGGAATGTGTGCGCAAAGTCGATCATTTTCACCTTGACGGTGGCAGGCGATGCGGGCAGGCCACCGTCATACACAATCAGTAGTGAGCTAGCATAGAAGTGTGCGGCCGACTGCCGTAGAAACACCTCCCGCAAGCTCTGCAGCTGCGACAGCACATTCCTAATGACATCAGCACGCTGACCCACACCGTCGTAGAAAAACGCGTGCAGCGAGTCCAGCACAGCGCACTCGTCCAGAGATAGCCCGTACAGCTTGCTGTAATACTTGAATTCATTCTTGGTGCGGTTGAACACACGCATGGCAGAGATCCGGTAGCCAATGTGCTCTTGCTGTGGATACTTGGCAAGCTCAGCATTGATTTTGGCTGAACTTGCACTCTCATCCCAACATCGTCGGCCGATTTTCAAATCAATGACACTAGCATGGGGCAATGTGGATGCCAGGTCTTCTAATAGGAGAAATGTCTGCTGTCGTTCTGCGATACCATCGGATATTACTATGTCCGTTACTCCATGGAACTGTGGAACCCAGGGTCTCAAGCACTGCAGCTCATCTCTGCACTGCGACGCTGACAGCTCCTTGTAGAACTGCAGCTCTCGAGGACCTTTGGGCGAGCGTTGTACCGGCTTGAGCACTGCTGTACCGTCCCCACATCGTCTTAGCATGCCTAGCTTGCCATTAGTGAAAAGATGACCAGCTACTTGGTGCGGTAGCGGCTCGTACCCGTCCGGCAGACTCACACCGCGACCAGCAGATACTGCTGGGCTGGTTTGTCGTCGTTGTTCGCCTGTCGACATTGCAATTGGGCTCCGACACACATCCACCATCGTTCCTCCAGGCATTCGTACTGCTGTTGTTGTTCTCCTCCTTTCAGCACTGAGAGTGTTCGCTCTCGCTGCCTTCTGCACGTTTCAAATGATCTGGAGTCCCTCGTTCAGCTGCCAACCGGTTCCAGATGGCACGATCTACCCCTTCTCTGCTCGATATGGCGGTTGCTTGCCCTTGGTGGGAGCAGGCGACTCGTGCTGTCGGTAATTCGTCCCGGACACAAACGCAGTCAATGTGCCCACATGTGTTGCTCACGAGAATATGTCTCGGTTCGGCAAGCCCGGTGACTAGGTGTTGACTGTTGGTGCTGGTGACTCTGACAGAACAAGTCCTGAACGACTCGCTTACTTCTACGGTCTTGGAAGGAATCTGAAAAAAAGAAATAGATGAACATCCGCGGATCTGCGCCTACAGTAGTACAGTTTGACAGCCCGTACTGCACCGCTACTCAAAAGCACTCGAACACGTCGGTAAATCTACGGATGGTGGCCAGCAGCGGCCGCTACTCATGACCAACACGGCATCGACATCAGTTATTCAGTACAGGAACCAGTACAGTGACGGCCTACGTGGCTAGATACATGGTATTACTGCTGCTTTCCCCACCTACTAGTACTAGTACTACTAAGCGCCTCTTCACTGCACCAACGACGTCTGTCTTTACATACCGCTAGCGCTCAGCACAGACTGTCAGTAGAATCGGATGACACCGACTAACCCTTTGAGGCCCATAGTACGGATATATCCGTACCAGTGTACAGTGCATACTTTTCAAAGCGCAACCTGGCGTAACTCGGCCGTCCCTTGACCAAATCGGACAATCGAAAGGGCTATCGACATTAGAATTGTCTCAGCTATCGGCTCGAAAAAACCCGAAAGCGATCCGAGTTCGGAGAGCGGAGATACGAGACTCGAACTAAATTTACTCAGCAGAGTCAACTCGAGCGCGTGCATTTTGAACTCGTTTTTAGGGGTTTTCCCTGACTCGCGGCCCACGCAGCTACAGATAGTTTACGTCATCGCAAAGGCATGTTTCTCAGCTCTCCAGTAAAAAAAATTTGAGCGATCTGCGATGCAATTTGTTGAAATGGCAGAGAATTTGAGTTGGGCGCTCGCAATGCTGGCTTTGGAGCGCCGTATCGCGCTGCGGCGCTGGTTCTGTGGATCGAGTGATGTATTGCTGGCTATCGCTGTATTCCTCTGGCCAAGAGCTTTCCAGAAAGCCCAAGATCACCAAAATCGGCCAAAGGACACCAAAGTTACGGCCAGATAAGTACCCGGGCTCGCGTATGCAGTGCATTTCTTGAAATAATTGTGGGCCCTAAAGGGTTAATACAACGAGTACAGTAAAACTGACTGGGAACCAAAATGATCAGAGATGAATCGAACTGCACCTCAAGCAAAAGTGCAAAGCACTTAGCTTTGTTTCAATCGCTGAATCTGCCACCTGGCAGAGAGTCAAACTGACTCATCAAGAAGCTGTGTTGCATGGAATGGCTTGCCTCAAACAAACCCACGTAGACTGAACACCAGTGACACACTTACATGCACAACCATTCACAAAGACTTGGAACAGAGGTCGCAGGCACATAAACAACGTATCTCCACAGTGGAAGCAGATCACTCATGCAGTCATGGCATTGAGAGGCGCTTCTTTTTAGTCAAAACCAACTCATCGGCTTGCTCGAGATGTGCTGACGTGCATAGGACAGGTCGGTCCTGTTGCCAGTGTTGGTAGGACTGGCAGTCGAAAGATATCGCTGCTTTACTTCAATGTCTTGTCCTAGGTCCTGTACTGATACATGGCGTGTGGTGATGGGTGGCCTTGCATCTGCGCCTAGAAGTACTAAGGCTAGATCCTGTAGCGGATACCAGGATACAGACAATGCTCTATGCCTATGTTAAGGGTTACCAGGTTACGCAAAGCAGTCCGGACACAACGCTACGTAGATCTACGAGTGACTACGAGCAGCTACTGAGCTAGTGCATGCCGAGTCTGAAACAAAAGTTACAGTTGAACTCGAAGATTCAAATGCGGAAAACGAGTTACCGGGTACGTGCGTGAGTACGGGCTGCGCGGTTTCGATAGCGCCGAAATCATGAGTAAAGATAGGTAACGACTTCATTTACAGCCCGCTGCCTGTCATGAGTCATGACGCACTGTAGTCAGTGTCTTGTGTTGCCAGTGCAGTGTTGGTAGTTTTACTTTAGCTGCACGTCTTGACAAAGACTAAGTGCATGCACCGCCGCAGACTCAAAGGGACGTTGACAAGCGCCCGTCCCTTGTCTGCAATGCACTCGGATCAGCCTATCACCTGCCTATCACCAGCCTATCTCTATCGCCAGTTTTGGTCGGTTTCAGGCTACATCGCACGACAACCTTTGTCACATTTTTGTCGTAAGTGGCGCCAGCATGGCCTTAGCCTTAGGCCTAGTCCTGTGCGCCTGGCTAGGCTGGGGTGACCTGGTGACGGCCCGCTGCACTGGCGGGCGCTGTGGCATGTCGACGTGATGTGTAGCACTGAAGACGAGTCAAGACCGTTGGGAGGATCGATTGTGATGTTGAGGACTGTGACAGTGTGCGGCTGTGACCCTGACTGCGGCCGGACAGACAGTGCATGCAGTTCTAGTGTACGGAAATGACTTTTCTGATGCTCCGCGCTGTATTAGTTAGTTCCACAGTGGACCACACTACCATCGCACGAAGTATCGGGTTACAGAGATCGCAAATAACCATAGTTAGTTACTTGTCTTTTACCAGGGAGTCGTATAGACCGTATACGACTCCCTGCTTTTACTAGTTCGCAACTCATCCCTACTACATGTAGTAGTACTAGTACTACATATACGCAAAACCGAAAAACATGTTGAACTACCAAGCAAGGCTTCTGTATAATTAATGTACGTTAGTAGTACTACACATGTACAGTGTGGTACTGACACAGTGACAGTCTGTCTCGAGAGGAGAATGGCTGTACAATGTATTATTATCAAGAGTACATAACTCATATGTGTAGTTATGTACTACAAAGCGCGCGCGTGCATCATTGGCGTTGTCATTGACAACACTAGTCTAGGCCAGTGCCACACGCGTATTCACTGCAAGTGCAACTACAAATTACAATGTACATGTACATGTACATATTGTTAGATTGACAGCATGAAACAAGGTGGAGGACACTGTGTTCGGAAACAGTGACCTTACTACAACCTTCCGCGGTTGGCGGAGCCCCAAGTAGTATAAGGTCACTGTTTCCGAACACAGTGTCCTCCACCTTGTTTCATGCTGTCAATCTAACAATATGCGTGAACTATAACAAGGTTGATCTAATACATGTACTAGTTCTGAACTAGTAGTACATTGTATACATGTGTACTTGTGTAGTATTGGGGTATAATACCATACCTGTACATGTGTACAATCATGTAATCATTTAGGTTACGTTTGGTTGGTCACATTCCCAAATGGGAATCACTTGGAATCACTCGGAATCATTCTCGCCCGTTTGGTTGGTCAAAAAAGTGCGTTAGGTTGGTCACATTCCACATGATTCCAGAATGGGAATCGCTGAGAATGATTCTTTTTGGAGAATGTTCATTCCACCTCATATGCTGGAATGAGCATTCTCATTCCGGAATCAAAAATGATAATGGCTGCCACGAGCCAAACAATGTAGCAACAGGTTCAAGTGCCTCAAATCATGCGCTCAGAAGTACCATGACTCTCTCAAGGAAACTAGAGTCGGGTAAAAGAAAAGACAGCCGCCGTTCCACAACGACATCATGGAATTGTTATGTCAAGTGATTCCTAATTGATTCTGGCGCGTTAGTTTGGTCAGGTGATTCTTGCCGATTCCCATTCCAGAACGGTTGTCATTTACATTCTGAAAATGCCCAACCAAACGCAACCTTAGTGACATCATTGACAGTCTGATTGAATCATTCATGCACATTTTACATCTTTCAAAGTATTCGTCTAGGGATTTAATTGAATCTCTTACACAACCTTGTTACATCTGCCTTGGCTTGAGTTTCTTTGGATTAGACTACATGTACTTCAAGTACATAATCATTGTACATGTACATGTATTTCAATTTTTCATTTTGATTTCACCGCCGAGTTTCATCCCTTGTATCTTTGGTGTTCTTCCTTTTTCCATGTCGTATTGATTGAATAAACCCGTTTAGATAATAAACATTATGACAGTCGAGTCTGGAGTACTAGTACAATGGACATGTACACTGTACATTGTACTAGCGGATGCTCGCAGCATGCTCGAGAAAAAACAGCCAATTATGCTTTTATATGCTTCACCAAAAAGACCAAAAGAACAGATAATGTAGTGTAGAAAGGAAAAGGACATATGGATACGAGTTAAGAGTAACTGTCCACCACTAGTGCACTGTATCTACACGTACATGTAGATACGATATACATGTACATGTATCTACATGTACATGTACGTGTGTATCTTTTACTGCTCTCGTCATTGTCCAGTAACAATCGACATTCTTTGTTCCGGTCGGACTGTAGCTTGTGCTCATTTCCGTTGCGCTTGCCTTCCCCTTTTTAGTCTTTCCTTAACCTTGAACCTTCCGAGTTGGAAGGCTGTTGGTTAGCGCTACAGAGATGTGTTGAAGTTAGGTGCCAGGACGTGGAATGTCTCAGTACTCTGTCAGTTTTGTGTCGAGTTGTTGCACTTTCTGACCATACATGTACATGTACATGTACATGACTGTACAGTATGTACAGAGTACTGTATAACACCTTTATTTCGGTGTAATTTAAATTTCGGTAACTTCGGTACTGGTCCTGGATCACCTAATTTAACATTACACCTAAATTTTCCGAAATCCAAAAATATGTAAAAATCATGAAAATCACTGTCAAAAAATCAACTTGTATACAGTCATATTATTACAGGGTGCGACAATCGTCATGTACATACCGGTATACATAATGATAAGTACGAGCCTAGCCGGAGATATTAGTGCAAGAGCCGTTTTTTTTTTTTTTTTTTTTTTTTTTTTTTGGTGCCATGCATGCATACCGAATTTATCCTTCCACCGAAAGGTCAGGGGTTGGCTTTTACCGAAATTTTACAACACCGAAAATAAGGTGATATAAAGTGGTGGACAGCTCGTATCCATACATGTACATGTACACTGTATGTCCTTTTCCTTTCTACATTTTTTTTTTTTTTTACAAAGACCACTTAATGCCTTTTTTTAATTAATACTGGCCCAACATACTGTACGAGTTTCAAAGAACAGATAATCGTCATGAAAAAAGGACTCAGACCATTGTCATGATGTGGACTGGGAGCTTTGTGGAAGTACAAGACAATAATACATGTACAATGTATGCAAGAGGAATACCAAATTCACAAGCAAACGCTGAACTTTTGGGAGGTGTCCTATACTGGCTATAGTGGCTGCTAAAATATTCATTCCAAATCGACAAGAAGCGCTACCTGTACATGTATGGTCCTTCAATAGCAGGTGTAAGTACATTGTATATACATTGTAT